TATATTGCATTAAATCCCCCCTTTTTTTCCCTTCCTTTGAGTCAACGTTGACTCCTGGCGACTGCCTGGACTAGTCCCTGCAGTTTCCCTGGCAAGGTTTTGGAAGGGGGTTGCCATTGCCTGCTTCCTGGGGCTGAGGGACAATGGCTGGCCCTCGGTCACCCAGGGGGCTTTGTGCCCAGGGCAAGACTGGATCTCACAGCTCCTGGTTTCCAGCCTGGTGCCTTCACCACCACCCCAAATGGGGTCTCCTATCCCTTATGCCCCTCCAGGAAGAAAAATGTCTCCAAACCTATTTCCCAATGACACCCTCAGCCTTGGGATTCGGGGGCCCAAGAGGACCCACCTTGCCATCTAGATGCAAGGCCTCCCCTAGATGGTCCCCTCCCCATAGCCTCTCACCCAGCCCCCCACAGACTCACCTTTCTTGTTCTTCAGGTAGGGGGAGAGCCCCCCAGCCAGGAAGACCCCCCCCAGCACGGTCCCCACGGCCCCCGTCCAGAGCTTGCTCTTGGCAGCGTTGGAGGAACGTGGCTCTGGGGAAGGAGAAGGAGCCTCGCGTGAGCAGGAGGATCAGGGCCAGCCATTCTGGCTCGACACCCAGGGAGGGTCTTTCCAGCCCCCCCTCATCAATGACCCCTTCTCTGTGCACGACGGTGTCCCCACACCAGGAGAGAAGGGAAGAGAAAGAAGGGAAAGGCTTACCCCACTGGACGGTGACGGGGGCCTCCAGGCTGGCGTGCCCCACCTTGCAGGCGTAGACGTCCCCACGCTGGGGCTGGGTCTCCAGCAGCACCTGGAGCTGGTAGGTCCAGTCTCCCGTCTGGAGCCCCTCCCCGAAGGCGACGCCCTCCTTCTCCGGCCGCCCGTTCTTCAGCCACTGGACGTCGATCTCCAGGGGGTAAAAGCCGGTCACGGTGCAGAGGAGGATGGTGTTGGGGGAACCGGGGTCCGTCTTGGTGGGGGAGATGGTGACGGTGGGCTTGGCTGGAGGGGAGGGAGAAGGAGGGACGTGAGGGACCCAACAGGGCCCAGGACGGAAGAGCAAGCTGGTCAGTTCAGGCCAAGGTCCGTCTTAGTCTCGGAAATGTTCTGCGTCTCAAGTCCCTTTCCAAGAGTTTTATTTGGAGAGAGGGAGAAAAACTCCACTTTCCTCTTTTGCAGCCTTTCCTGTCCACTGCTGAGTCAGCTAAATTTGACTCTGAACGAGATGAGAATTATCCAGCTGATTTGGCTGGATGGCCCCCAAAGAGGGTGCTTAAGGGCTCCCTCCAGGTGGGAAGGGGGTTTTGGGTAGCATCCCGGGGTCTGTCCTGGGTCATGGAGTTGGGGGGGATCGATGAAGCTCGTGGCCTTCCGGGAAGACGTCAGTGGGTGAGACGAGGCTGATTCTCTCTCCTTCCTTGGCTGCAAAAATCAAAATGCTTCTGCAACTTCTGCTATTTTGGGGGGAGGCAGGTGGCTCATAAACGGGGCACCCGCCCTCCTTCTCCCCCCAGAGGGGTCTCTGGCACTGGAGTTGGAAACAGAATCGAAAGTCTTACCGCTCTGGGGCTCGACTCTGATCTCCCTGGACCAGCTCACAGGAGACGCTGCTGCTGGTGGGAACAGCCGGCGTTGCCAAGAGAGTTAGTTAACCGGCCCGTGTTTCTGGAATGATGAAATGAGAGTCCAGGGACCTCATTAGGGACTTGCGTGCCCAAAACAAGGGCTGCACAGAGCACGCAACCCGCTTCTTTGTCATCCATGAAACAGGCAAGGCATTTCATCATCTCTGCTTTGCCAGGAAGCAGCAGTCCTTGGTGAGCCTCACGCGCATTTTCCAGAATACCTGGAGGGATTCATTACAGACCCTTGCAAGCCGCCTCTCTGCTAGAAATGTCCTGGCCGGGAATTACAGCAGCTGACGTCCAACAAATCTGGAGGACGTCAGTCTGGGGAGTCATAATAATAGACCCAGTTTGGTCTCGTGGTGAAGGCCCCAGGCTGGAAACCAGGGGACCCTGAGTTCTAGTCCTGCCTTAGGCATGAAAGCCGGCTGGGTGGCTTTGGGCCAGTCCCTCGCTCTCAGCCCAGCTCACTTGACAGGGTGGTTGTTGTGGGGAAAATAGGAGGAGGAAGGAGGATTAGGTGCGTTCGCCACCTTGAGTCATTTATAAAAGTAATAAAGGCGGGGTTAAAAAAACTACAAAATATATCCTTTTTGTTTTTTTAATTCACCTGAATTCTTTTTCTCAAAATGCACACATCTAAACTTGCTTGTCTAATATGGAGAAAGGGGATAGAGAGATAGAGAGATAGAGAGATAGATGGATGATAGAAATAGATGTTTCCAGCCTATCACCATAAATGATTTTGCAAGTGAGTGTGAAGAGCAGGGTCAAGGAAGCCCCAGAGCCAGGTGGCCACCGCCAGATATCACTGG